TCTGCGGTATTCTTCTAAATATCCCTCTACATGTTGAACTGTGAGCGTCTGGAAGAGATTGCCGTCTTGCCTCGCATTCCTGCTCACACGTCCTTCCTCCCTTTCCCCTCCCCCCGCGCTCTTCTTCCTCGCCTCCCTCCTGCCCGGAGAAAGTTAATTGCGCCCCAAGGCGTGACGCAACGAAAATGTCACGAATTTCGTTGCTTTGTTGGTGTGATCCTGCTGCCTTCGGCTATCCTGCCTCCGTGCCTGGGCGTCGGGTCGGTGGCTTCTTGGTTGTTGGTGCGAGACGTTCTCTCGCGGCTCTCGGGGTGCCGGTGCCGGCAGGGGCAAGGGAACGCGGGTGGGGCGCTGGCCGAGGTTCCCGGAGGGGCTTCCGAGGGCGTCGGAAATCATGTCCCCCCACGGCCACTTACCCCCACATGCAGTGCCGGTTTTAATACATGCTCCGCGTGCGGATCATGTATGACAAAATGCAGGGATTTTGCATAACAGCCAACGATGAGTTCATGCATAAATTTGTCCATCAATTAGTCATGTATAAAAAATCAGATGTTAAAACAAAACCCGATGTATTAAAAACTGCTCTCAGTCGACGAACGCTGTCCTGCGAGCGTGGCCGAAATTCGGGGCATGCCGGCCTGTCGACATTGGTGCACGTTGTCGGCGCCGATCGTCGCCCCGACGGGGCTACCCGTCGCTTCCCCGCGCGAGCCTGCACAGCGCCTTTCGATTGCGCCTGCAGTTTGCTGGGCCCTCGGGCTCGCCGTTATGCATCCCCACGCGGCTCCAGGGATTCCCTGGTGTCTCCAGGGATTTCCAGGGAGTTCCTGGTGTTCCCAAAATAAAACATACCCCCCAAATAATCAAAACAAAATCAAAAAATTGTCTGGGGACTATTTTTTGATATGTTTTTGACAATTTTGGGGTATTTTTGGGGTATGTTTTATTTTTCGTCGAAAATCCCCCTGTAGGGGGACACGCCCGACATAAGCGTGGAGGTATCTTCGGGCGTCGCTTGTAGAGGGGTTTACCTCCTTCCCCGCACGCGCGGTACCCAGCGATGCCCCTAGCATGTTGGCCCAACGTCGAGGGTCAAACGTCCTCGCGTTGACGATGTTTCGGCCGACTTGGGCCGCGGGCGGCAGTCTGGGGGTGGTTGTCGTGCCTGGGCCGCCTGCGGTGGTGGCGGGCGCCTGGCCCCCGAGGTGTCTTCGGCCTCTGGCTACGCCTCGAGTGCGGCAGTCTGTGGTACCTGCTCCACTCCGCTACCCGCATCTGGCGGGGTTTGCAGCGGACAGGCGGCGCCTGGGTTTTCGGGCGATGCCTGCCCGGCATTGCGCGTGGATGCTCCAGAGCGGAGGGCTTGCGCGCGTGGTTCATTAAGTGGGTTCCGAAGCTTCGACATCGAACAGGCCCTCATTGACTTCGACCGGGACGTGTACGCTCAGTCGTAGCAGGCGTCTACAGCGTCCCGAATTCGCACCATCACTTCCATTTTGCAGCATTCGGGTTTCGACTATCCACCTCTCGACGCAGAACGTGTTCGCGTTCTTGCGGCTGTTTGTAAAAAGGGAAGATGAGATCGGCCGCGCAACTTCTTTCTACTGCAAAGGTGCACGCCGAACGGATGAACCACCAGTTGTCCCCTGCGGCCTTGCAGGCCCTCCGCGATGCCAAACGGTCCTGCGAGCGGGGCGTGGGCCCGCCGAAAAGGGCCGAGGGGCTGCCGCTTGAAGAATTGCATCGCTTACCAGATGCAGACGAGCCTTTCGTGCCAGGAGGTCCTTGTGCCCCTAAGCGGGCCCTCGTCTGCGGAGCCTGGTGTTCGGCTCGCGAGGTGGAGTTGTCTACAGCAAGGGCGTCTTTGATATCCTTCCGTTTGTGTGAGGAACACCTCATTGCTGCCTGGTGTCTGCCTGTCTCCGAGGCCGATCAGCAGGCCACGGGGGTCGGCGGGGCGCACGGCTGCACTTGCTTGGCGCCGGGGCTCTCTCAGGTGTGCCCAGCTCATGCGGCATGGTCCCAGCGCGCCGTTCTTCGGGTTTGGTGGCCTGGCCGGCATTCAGAGACAGGGATTCCAGAACTTTCTTTGCCGTTGTTCCCGGACAGTGCCGGCAATCCGTGCCGCAAGGACGGAGTGGTGGCTACTATCCGGGTCGCGGCGCAATTGCTCGGATTGCCTTCTGCGTCGTCTGACGGGCTGCAGATTTGGACTGGGCATTCTTTGAGGGTCGGCGGCGCCCAGTCTCTCGCCCGCCGTCAGTTGGATTCCTGGGTAGTGCAGCTGCTGGGCAGGTGGGGGTCTGGCGCGGTGCTCCAATGCATCAGGGACGCGCCGCTGGCGTGGTCACATTTTTGGGCGCGGCAGGCGGCTGGCCTGCAAGTCTCGCCACCGCTGCCCGAGCTGAGCGGGGGGGGTCCTTCCACCCGCCAGATCGCGGCGCTTCAGGGGCAGTTCAACGCCATGCGCGGGGGCAGGGCTACCGGGGGCGCACCAGCGTTGGAACCGTCCTTGGAAGACACCCGTCTGCTCCTTCACCCGTTCGTAGAGCGTCTCTCGACATTGGAGTCGTCGGTTGCGTTAGTCTCGAAACTACCAGAGACGGTGGAGGCCCTCAAGGCTGAGCTCACCGCGTCGGGCACCACGTCTTCTTCGGATTCCAGTTCTCCACCCTCTTCCGCGGGCTGGCTGGACCGTCGGCCCGACCAGCTGTTGGAGGACACAGTCGTTGTTCGTAACGTCAGCACTGGCATTCTGCACGCAGCGGTTCTGCCGCAGGACGCTGCTTTTTCCACGACCGGGCTGACCCGGTGCACCTGGTTTCCGCTTGGGCGATGGTGTCGAGCGTGTTGGCAGTTTGCCCGCCTTCTACAAATCCATCTGCGAGAGGTGTTTCCTTAGCCTCCGCGGCTCGCGGAAGGCGAGGTTGCTTGCCAGGGCGGGCTCGGAGGCTCAGGTGGGGGGTTCCGCAGCCCCGGCTGCTCGAGCTTCCTCTGCCCGCCCTGGCGCCGATGCGAAAAGGATTTGTGCTCTGGGAGGTGCGGGCGGGCGGTCGTTTAGGGAAGGGGGAGAATGTTGGAAATTACACAACGTGTAAAAGTAACATTCGCGCCCTTTCTAAGAAGCTTGGTGTGGGTGCGTCGTGGGCGTTTTGTTATGAGATCGATGGGGCATATTCTGCATACCATGCTCAGGCTTGCACTTCTGTCTTTGCATTTTTGTATTGTCCGTAACCATTTTGGCTCAGGGTGAGCCTCCCGGCGTGAGGTCACCCACCCACCACGCATCAGGCCTGCGTGTTGTTCCAATCCGAACGTTTTCGGTCCTTCCGAAATCATGTTCACGCCGCAGCGTGGGCCTCATTTTAGGATCGGGGTTCTGCTCTCGATTGGCGCTCTCGCCCCAGCACGGGGTACTTTTCTTGACCCGGGTCCTTGCTCAGCATTGTCGCCCCTCTTCTCTCCCCCCCTCCGCCTTCCCCTGGTCCTCCTGCTCTCCCGCTCCTTCCGCCCCAGTTCCTGCTGCTGCTGTTCGTCCTCGTCGTCCTCTTTTCTCCTCCTCCTCCTTTTCCTCCTGCTAATCCTCCTGCCTGCCACCTTCTTCTCCAATGTACGTATCTCTTCTTTCATGGTTGCGCATATTAGCACGATTGGGTATTTATCCAAACCATCCCGTGGTGTTGGGTCATCGTTTTGAAGGGACAGCACCCCACGTTCTCCCGCCTCCTCCCCCCTCCTCCCTCCTCCCTATCTATCCGTGCCTCTGCTCTTCGCCCAGTGCAGCGTTTCGTGGCCCCATAGGGAGCTCCACCGAAGGTCCCAGCGGCGGAACTCGCATGCGGTTCCTGCGCCCAGTGCGGTGTTTCGTGTCCTCATAGGGAGCTCCACCGAAGGTCCCAGTGGCGGAACTCGCATGCGGTTCCTGCGCCCAGTACAACGTTTCGTGGCCTCATAGGGAGTTCCACCGAATGCCCCAGTGGCGGAACTCGCATGCGGTTCCTGCGCCCAGTACAGCGCTTCGTGGCCCCATAGGGAGCTCCACCGAAGGTCCCAGTGGCGGAACTCGCATGCGGTTCTTGCGCCCAGTACAGCGCTTCGTGGCCCCATAGGGAGCTAGCTCCACCGAAGGTCTCAGTGGCACTGCACGCATGCGTCACCCCCCACCGAGTACAGCGTTTCGTGGCCCCTGGGGAAACTCCACCGAAGGCCCCAGTGGCACCGCCCGCATGCATCACCCCCGCCCAGTACAGCGCTCCGTGGCCACATAGGGAGCTCCACCGCAGGCTCCAGTGGCACCGCCCACATGCGTCACCCCCACACAGTACAGCGCTTCGTGGCCCCATAGGGAGCTCCACCGAAGGCCCCAGTGGCTGCACTCGCTTGCGGTTCCCCTGCCCAGTAGCGTTGCGTGGCCACATAGGGAGCTTCACCGAAGGCCCCAGTGGCGGTGTTCGCATGCGTTCCCCCACCCAGTACAGCATAGGGAGCTCGACCGAAGGTCCCAGTGGCGGTGTTCGCATGCTTTCCCCCACCTAGTGCAGCGTTTCGTGGCCCCATAGCGAGCTCCACCGAAGGCCCTGGTGGCGGCCCCGCCCGATTGCGGCGCACCCCTCACACTTTTCGCGGCCCCGTAGTGCGTTCCGCTTGAAGCAACAGTGGCAGCGCCCACATGGCGGCCCCGCCCAACATTGGCACACCCTTGACATGCTTCATGGCCTCATGAGGGGCGGTGATACTCGAAGCGATTGCATTCACAGCTGCACATGGGTGGGTTGTTTTTTTCGCCAGGATTAGTTGGAGTTCCAGGTCCGCCATGACACGCGTCGGCGGGTAGCGACAAATCAGGGCAACGGGAAACAAACGGTTGGGATGTGTCGGACAAAATATAGCGCGACCGTGCTTAGCTCACACACCGCCTCTTTCCAGCCTCCGTCCGTCCCTCATCCTGCCCCTCCCCTCCATCTTCCCTGCTTACTCATCTACTGGCCTTGCCGCAGGCTCCTGCAGCGGCTGAAGGTGCAGGTGGTGCACGTGAGCGCCAGCGAGTGGCGGCAGTTGGGGGAGGCCTCTCGGGGAGGAAGGGGGATACATGTGGGCGGATGGGGAGGAGGAACAAGGAGGAGGAGGAGGAGGCGGAGGAGGAGGAAGGGGAGGAAGAAGAGGAGGAGGAGGACGAGGCGGAGGAGGAGGAGGAGGATGAGGAGGAGGAGGGGCAGGAGGATGAGGAGGAAGAGGAGGAGGAGGAGGATGAGGAGGATGATGAATACAGCGAAGAGAAAGATGACGACGAAGAGGAGAAGAGGAGGAGGAGGAGGCGGAAGCGGAGGAGGATGAGGAGGAGGAGGATGAAGGTAGCGAAGAGAAAGAGGAAGATGAAGATGACTATGAGGAGGGGGAGGATGAGGAGGAGGAGGAGGAGAAGGAGGAGGAGGAGGAAGAGGATGACGAGGCGGAGGAGGACGAGGAGGAGGAGGAGGGATGAGGAGGAAGAGAAGGAGGGAGGAGGCGGAGGAGAGGAGGAGGAGGAGGAGGAGGAGGAGGAGGAGGAGGAGGGGGAGGAGGAGGAGGAGGAGGAGGAATAATAACAATAATAATAATAATAATAGTACGAATGCTAACACTGAGAATAACAACAATGCGACTCAGAATACGAAGACTAATACGACTACAACAATTATAATCAGACGAAGAAAAATAAGAGGAGGAGGAGGAGGAGGAGGAGGAGGAGGAGGAGAGGAGGAGGAGAGGACGAGTGGGAAGGAGGGAGAAGGAGGGATGAGGAGGAGGATGAAGGTGGAGGAGGAGGGTGGAGGAGGAGGGAAGGAGGCGGATGAGGAGGAGGAGGAGGAGGGGAGGAGGGAGGATGGGGGGGGGAGAGGAGACGGAGGAGGGAGGAGGAGGGGAGGAGGAGGGTCGGAGGAGGAGGGGGGGAGGAGAGGAGGAGAGAGGAGGAGAGGGAGGAGGAGGAGGAGGAGGAGGAGGAGGAGGAGGAGGAGGAGGAGGGAGGAGGGAGGAGGGAGGAGGGAGGAGGGAGGAGGGAGTGTGAATGTTCGTGCTTAGTTGACACGCATGTATTGTGCACATGTGTATGCGCTCGCATGCCGATGGCGTTTCTTCCCAAATTGTATGTGCGTTCAGGTGCACCTTTCGGCCCCTGGTCAACGGCTTGTGACGCCCTCGCTGCAGGTAAAACACATCATTTACATTGGTAGCGGAGCCTGTGTGTTTCGGTCTGCGCTACGCTAACACACTCTGCGCTGACCTGCAGTGCGCGCCATGGCGGCTCGCATCTGGAGGTCTCCCGACCGTGGCCGTGCGGTCGGCCAGGCACGACGACGACGACTTCGAGCAGCTCGACGAGGAGGAGGCGGAGGACTACGAGGCGGCGCCCGAGACACCCGTCGGAGGCGCCGACAGAGACGGCGGCGGCACGCGAGACAACTTGCCGATCCCGATCTTCGACGGGAGTGGCTGGCGGGACTTCTCGCGGCGCGTCGAGGCCTGGCAGCTGGCGACCTCCCTCAGGTCCGAGCGCCGCGGCCCAGCGCTCTACGCGAGGCTGCAGGGTGACGCTTGGGCCGCCGTCGAAGACATCGACATGCAGAGGCTCGCCGAGCCAGGAGGGCTCGAGTTCTTGATGATCGAGCTCAAGGACCGCTTGGAAGAGCAGGAGATGTTGCGACAAGGAGATGTGCTGCATGAGTTCTTTGTCCACAGGAGCAGATGCGCACATTCAAGAGGAGGTTCAACACTCTGGTGCATCGCCTGGCCAAGTTTGCCGTGACTTTGCCCGCGATCGTGCTCGGATGTTTTTTTCGGGAGAAGCTGCGGCTGCCGAGCGATCGACGTGCGATGGTGCTGGCCAGTGCGAACAATGACTACGATTTCAAGGTGATGTCCGCGGCGGCCGAGAGAAATTGCCCCAATGTTGCTGAGTTCGACCGTCCAGGCGGCCGCGGACAAGATCAGACATTCAAGCCCAAGAAGTTTCAGAGGTTCGCCCTCGAGGTGGGCAACATCGTGCCATGCACGCCGAGCCCGACGACGAGGAGGTGCACGACCCAGTCCAGGACTACCTACACGACCTGGATGAGGCCGAGTGCCAAGCCGTGGAGTCTTTCCTGGCGAACGGTGGAGACCTTACCGACCTCCCGGGCCTGGATGAGTTCGAGGACGACGCTGACGACCAGGAGCCCGGTGACGACCAGGATGAGACCATGGCGGCGCTGGCGGAGGCGTACGTGGCAGGTTTTCGTGAGAGCAACGAGCGTTTCCAGTAGAAGGATAAGTTTCGAATGAAGCCCACGAGTGCAAAGTTCAAAATGAAGGATTTCAGGAACCATCAGGGCTACCCTCCGCCATCAGCACCGCATCAGGTTCAGCGAGACCCCAAGAGGCAGAAGGAGATCGATGACTTGAAGAAGAATTCAGTCTGCAAGGCCTGCGACCAGCGAGGGCACTGGAAGGGCGACCCTGAGTGCCCCAAGACCCGTGGAGGAGGACCGCCCTCGTCGGGAGCTCGCAGGCCGATGTTGGCTATCCATGACAGCGGCTGTGCGGAGGCGGAGCCGCGCAGGGTCATGACAGCGATGAGTTCGAGGACGACGACGACGGCCAGGAGCACACCCAAGCCTGCTGCCGAGAAGAAGCCGAACACCAGAGCGGGCGTCTACTCTTTCTTGACCCTCTCGTTCCCGGTGTTCATCTTCGCGCCCTTCGAGGAGATGTGGAGGCGCGTCGGGTTCGCGATCTACGACAGTGGCTGCGCCAGGTGCGTTATGGGCTACAACATGCTGAAGCTGTGGGCGGTGCTCTTGAGGCGTCGCACGCGTGGCCTGAGGTACCGGCGGGTCGACGAGAAGGAGCGGTTTCGGTTTGGAGCTGGCGACCCGGTCTGGAGCACCTTTGCAGCGCTGATCCCGATATGTATTTCACATCGTACTTCAGGCATTCTGCGTGTCCGCATCGTGCCAGGCGACCTGCCGCTGCTCTTTTCGAGGCCGGCGGCGAAGCAGCTCGGGATCCGCGACGACCCGAGGACCAGCACCTTCAGTTTTCCAGAGGAGCTGGGCGTGCCACACGTGCCGGTCGCAGAAGCTGACTCCCAGCATCCGCTGCTCAATCTGTTTCAGTTTCCAGCAGAAGGCTGGGTGGCGCCGCCAGGGGCAGTCTTGGACGAGACGGCGCCAGAGATTCAATATCATATTCAAGGTCATCATCATGATCGTCAGCCGTCTCATCGCCAGGTTCAGCATCCAGAGGTGCCGGGCCAGGTCCAGGACATCAAGCAAACGCTCGTGGTCTATAAAAACGAGCAGCAGCGGCACGATTATGAGCAGCAATACGAAGCCCTGGAGCAGCAACACCATGATAAAGTGGACCAGCATCGCCAAAACGGAGTTCGAGCTTATCAAAATGCAGATCGAGCTTATCAAAATTAAGGGCGAGCTTATCAAAACGGAGGTCGAGCCAGTCACAATGCAGAGCAGTACCAAAACAAGCAGCAAGCAAACGTTCGAGATGGTCAAACGTGTACATCGACTTCCGTAGCCCCAGGCTCAAATCAACCTCCCAGGATGAGTCCAATTTCATGTTCCATATCAGTGGGGCCCTCTACGGCTCATGCCGGGCCAGATTCAGAAGCGACCAGATCTTCGGCGGGCATGGTGGCGCTTCGCCCAGATCTTGATGAATGCGGCCCAGGCTCTCATGACACCCAAGCGCGGCGTGATGATCAGCATGGGCTACCGGAAGCGTATCATCTCGAGGTTGACTCACGTGAGACCGATTCGGAAGGGGATCACTCAGATGACGAAGGCGGAGTTGCGCGTGGAGCTGCTGACCATAGGAGTGGATACCTCGGGGAGCGAGACGTGTGCAGCCCTACGGGAAAGCCTGCGAGCCACACGACCGCCCGAGGAGGCAAAGCACCAGACGGGGACCCCCAGGGCAAAGCTGGCGTCGGGATTCAGCAAGCTCAAGAAGCCCGAGGCCATCGCTTTCTGCCAGGCTGCAGGCGTCGCGTTCGACGGGACGGCGGACGCCCTGAAGCTCAGGATCAAGGCGTGGGTAGCAGCAGAAGGTCCGATGCCATCAAGCGCCGTCTCCGCGAAATCCTTGCTGGGTGCGGCTACTCCTTCGAGAAGGTCCGTGCAGTCGAGCAGCGCAGGACCGCCCCCGAAGGCAACTCCAAGCACGCCTCCCATGGCGAGGGAGATCCAGGCCAAGGTCAAGATCGCTTGGCAAGGATTCGGACGGCACCGGCTCGGACAGCAGTGACGACGCCGGTCACGGCGGCGGAGGTGGACTGGGACCCGGACCAAGACCTCGCGAGAGTCGACGAGGAGAGCGACGAGTCCGAGCTGAGCGAGGCGGAGACCGAGTCGAGCGCGGCCGAGACCGGCCAGGACAAGGAGCTGATGAACCACCTCGATCTCGGTTTCCAGCTGGTCAGGTGAAGCGGCCCCTGCGCCGCGGGATGAAGAAGCGCGTGATCAGCGGGCTTCGTGGCGCTCTGACTTCGTGGACGCTGCCAGCTGTGTGCCTCGCAGCGACCATCGGCGAGTCGGCTGGCCTCAACCTTGCCAGCTTCGCCAAGGCCGCGGGGGGGCCCGCCGCCACGGAGGTGCGCGTCACGGTCGACGAGGACGGCGCCAAGATCATCTTCGTGGAGATCTGGGGTGGCAAGGCCGCGGCGTCGCGCGAGGCCGCCCGTCGAGGTTTTCGTGTCGGCCAGCCCTGGGACATCGAGTACGGCGACGATCTCGAGAAGCCGAATGTCCAGCAGCAGCTGATCGATTTCGTGGATCGCGAGAAGCCGGACTGCCTGGTGCTCGAGCCGACCTGCAGGATCTGGAGCCACATGCAGAACCTCGTGTTCAAGGGAGACAAGCAGCGCCTGCGGCGGGCGCGGCTGAAGGAGCTGCCGACGCTGAAGCTAGTCGAGAGGCTCTTCGGGATGCAGTACGTACGAGGGCGGACGCATGGCTGTGCTGGAGCACCCGTGGCTGGGGCAGTCTTGGAACGAGGGCCCGTGGCAGAGGCTCAGACAACTCCCGGGCGTGGTCGAGTTCCAGACTGACATGTGCGCGCACGGCCTCACCTGCCCTCAGACCCGGAAGGCAGTCAAGAAGCCTACGAGGATATTGGCGACTCACGCGCCTTTCGAGAAGCACTGCGGCCTGCGGCGCACGGAGGACCGCGACCACGCTGAGCTGAAGGGCTATGGCAGCAAGGGCATCTCCTGGAGCCAGGTCTATATCAAGGACTTCAGTCGGCGCATCGTCGACGCGTTCGAGGAGGTGCGCAACAAGAGCTACCAGGCCATGGCGGCGGACGTCGACGACAAGGACGACGAGGCACCCGAGGAGGAGCCCATGGGCTCCCGAGCGATCTCGTTCGGGGAGAAGGCTGGCATCCTGCCGCTGGAGGTTCGATCTCACCTTCGACGCCTTCACCAGAACCCTTGAGTATCTCTCGAACGACGACCTGGCCAGGAACCTGAGGCTCAACGGCGCGGACGATGCTCTCGTCCGCGGCGCCAAGCACCTGCGCTGTGCTACGTGCAACAGGACTAAGCCTGCTGCGGGATCTCATCGAGTTTCCTGTCTGTCGCCAGTCGGCGGCTTCAATGACGAGCTGGGCGTCGACGGCCTCTACCTTCGGAACGTGCACGGGAAGCCCTACCTGTTCCTGTCGCTCGTCGAGGCCTCCACGACGTGCCACGTTGCACGCTACCTGAAGAACCGGAAGCCAGCCACCGTGGCTAAGGTCTTTCGAGAGCTGTGGCCTGCTGGACCGCCTAGCGTGGTCAGGCTCGACCCGGACGGCATGTTCTACACCGAGTTTCAGGAGGCCATGGACACGATGGGGATCCGCGTCAAGGCCGTGGCAGGCCAAGCGCAGTGGCAGAACGGCCGCACTGAGCGGCATGGCGGCTGGCTCAAGCTCATGGTCAACCGCGTCGTCGAGCACAAGTCAGTCACGAGCCGCGGTGACCTTGAGACCGCCGTCTGGGAGACCTGCCAGGCCAAGAACGACATGCGTCGGATCTGCGGCTTCTCACCGTCGCAGTGGGTGCACGGATGCTCTCCTACCATGTCTGCCGACCTGATCGATCGGCCTGGCCAGATTGCAGAGCACAGCATGCATCACGTGTCCACGGAGCTCGCCAGGAGGATGGCTATCCGCGCGGCTGCGCGGACGGCCTTCGTGGAGCTGCAAAATAGCCAGGCGCTCCGTCGAGCACTCTTGCGGAAGCCGAGGGTCGCCCGCATCAACTACCAGAACGGTGGCCTGGTGTTCTACTGTTGGCTGCGCAAGGGGACGAAGCTCCACGAGTGGCGAGGCCCAGCCGTCGTCATCGGCCCAGCGGGAGCGTCCAACTTTTAGCTCTCGCATGGTGCTGGGGCCGTTCAAGTTTCTCACGAGCAGCTCCGACCCGCTGAGGATGAGGAGATCTGGTGGCCCGGTCAGGGCGACGATCCCAATGTCGAGGAGCTGAACGAACTCATCCGCCAGGTTGAGAAGGAGGACCAGCCAGAGTACGAAGACGACCGAGGGCGGGGACCACGTGAAGCAGATGAGAAGGCCCAACCTGCAGCGGGGAGAAGGCCAGGACCTCGGCGACACCCTCGAGGAGCGAGCGAGAGAGCTGGAGCTGGATATCGAGGAGATCGAGAGGGACAAGCGCCCGGCTGACGCGGCCAAGCGCCTGGGGGACGAGCCGCCCCGCAAGCGGCAGGAGGCAGCTGCGTCATCGGGGCCCGTGTCATCGACCCGCGCGGAGCCTCCAGCGTCGACAGCGACGCCCTCTCAGCCAGCTCTACCCGAACAAGGAGTTCCATACACGAAGGAGGAGTTCAAGAAGCGCCGGGCGGCTTTACAAGCCCGGCAGAGCCAGGTGTTCCGTCCGTTCCCTGTCGGACGCTTCAGCACCCAGGCGATAATCCAGAACAGCCCGTTCGCTTTGCCAATTTCAGTTTCGGCCCGATCGCGAAGCGGAGCTGGAACACGACGAGGCTGCAACGTCGAGCGCTGGAAAAGGAGATGCCATGGAACATGATCCCAGCCAGCGACCGCCCTCTCTATCGCGAGGCGGCCGAGTTGCAGTGGAAGCAGTGGGAGAACTACGACGCCGTCGAGCCGCTTTCAGTCAAGGAAAGTCAGAAGGTTCGTGAGCGAGTCCACCAGAGCCGCATCTCGACGTCGAGGTTCCTCTACCGGAACAAGAACGCTGGAGTCAAGGACGCGCCGCCCAAGCCAAAGGCTCGGCTGTGCTTTGGTGGCCACAACGACCCGGACCTCACGATGGGGCTCAGGACCGACGCACCGACCGTGTCGAGGCATTCGGTGCTCACCTTCCTGGCAGTGGCGGCGGCGTACGACTTCGATATCGTGGCCGGCGACATCGAGTGTGCCTTCATGCAGGGCGAGGAGCACCGGCGCGCCGAGGAGCTCTACATGTCTCAGCCCAAGGAGGGCCTGCCGAACATGGACCCTCGGTGCCTCCTGAAGGTCAAGAAGGGCATCTTCGGGCTTGCGGATGCGCCGCGGCTGTGGTGGCGACGTCTGCGTCGGGGCCTGGTCGAGGCGGACTTGAAGGACGAGGATGTCAAGCCCATCCTCATGATGCAGTCCCGGCTCGACCCGACGGTGTTCCGCGGCTTCAACGAGGACGGCGGGCGGTGTATCTTGGTCTGCGTACGTGCTGAGGATCTCCTCGTAGCCGCGAAGTCGCAGGCCCTACGTCAGGGAGTTCGAGGTCTCTTCAACTTCGGCGAGTGGCGTCGCGTGCCTGTGGTGTTCTGCGGGAAGCTGCTGCAGGCGGGCCCAGAAGGAGGTTTCCTGCTGGGCCAGTCGACCTTCATCGAGGGCAGGCTCGAGCCGATCGAGATCGACAAGGCCCGGAAGCGTGGTCCGAGCCTGGAGTGTAATGCCCGCGAGGCCGCGGACAATCGCAGTGCAGTCGGCAGCTTGGGGTGGCCAGCTCGAGAGACGAGACCCGACCTGTCGTGTACGGTATCTATGGCCCAGCGCAAGCAGAATGCCCGTTGCATCCAAGACCTGCTGGACGTCAACAAGGCCATCGGAGTGTTGCAGAGCTCGGCCAGCGAGAAGTTTCACATCCCCAAGCTGGACGTGGAGTCCCCGTGGTGCCTGATAGTCTACCACGATGCGGCATGGGGAAATGCGCTCACCGAGGACGAGGCCCTACGTCGGATCGCTCAAGGGGAGAAGGTCCACTCGCAGGCGGGGTACCTGGTCTACCTGTGCGAGCGTGCAGTTGCTGAAGCACGCCCGGGCAAGGCGATCCTTGTGGATTGGAGAAGCCACGCCCTGCCGCGCGTGGCTAGGAGTACCTTCGCTGCCGAGACTCAGAGTTGCACCGAGGCGTTTGACTCAGCAGAGCTTGTGCGTGCTGTGATTCTCGAGATGATGTATGCCGACCTGGACGTGACCAACAGTGAGATGCTAGCCAACATTCGTATGCTCCCGATCACGTGTGTGACGGATTGCAAGTCGCTTTATGACACCCTCCAGCGGGATGCCGGTAAGCTCCCGCAGGAGAAGCGCCTGATCATGGATCTGGCTTGGCTGCGCGAGGCCATGCAGCTGGAGGCTGCCGTGGACCCCCGCGAGAGTATGAACGTGGCAGATGTGCCGATGCGGTGGGTCCCCACAGCCTATATGTTGGCCGACGTTCTCACTAAGACGACGGATTTGACAGGTCAGTTATGTCGTTTGGTCTCGGGTTCGCTACACATCCCGAGGAATTTGCCAGGCCTGGACGAGGGCCAGTGCATTTTTTTTTGTGTCTGACCGCCCAGCCAACACGTTTGCATTAGCATGACTTTCGTATCTTGTGGTGTTTTATTTTACGCTTGGCGGCGACAATATCCAGATAATCCGTGCGATCGTGTTCCAGCCAATTTTGGGAACAATATTTTAAGATCAGTGTGAATGTGCGAGCTTAGTTGACACGCGTGTATTGTGCACATGTGTATGCGCTCGCATGACGATGGCGTTTCTTCCCAAATTGTCTGTGCGTTCAGGTGCACCTTTCGGCCTTTGGTCAACGGCTTGTGAAGCCCTCGCTGCAGGTAAAGCACATCATTTACAGGGAGGAGGGCCAAGGAACATGTCGCCGAGCTGGAGCTGTCGCTACGTGAGACTCGTGACCGCCTCAAGCTGGCGGACGAGGAGTACGAGTCAGCGCTGGTCAAGCTTCAGGCCGCGAAGGTCGAGCCCCAGATGCAGCCTGCCACGCTCAAGCTGGGTGACCTGGTCTCGGGGAAGTTCAGCACCGAGTCCTTCATCAATTGTGACGACCCCTCGAGGATTTGCGGCAGGCGAGGTCGAGCTGGAGGAATCGGGCAGGAAGGAGTTCGAGTCTCGTCGGGCGGCATTGGTTTCGGGGGCACAGGGGCTGGCGCAAAAGTTGTTCCAGCAGGTGGCGGACAATGACAAGGAGGCTCGGGCTGCACATGAGGCTCACAAACTGCGTCTGGCAGCAAAGAAGCGTCGTCTCGCCGAGGGTGGAGAAGCTTCTGCTGGAGGTGCGGTTGCTGGAGCTGCATCGAGCGCATCTGCTGGGCCCCCGTCTGAGCCTGGCGGCGCCGGCAGCACGGCGGCCGCGCCTGCTTTTGAGCAAACTAAGGCAGAGCTTCGTGCCAGGGTCGATGGGGCCTTGGACAGCTGAGCCCCCCCCCCCCCTGGCGATCCTGCCCAGGGGGGGCCAACGTTGATTCCGAACGGGGACCAGGCTCGAAATCTATCTGGGAACGCTATAACTTTTTACCGTCGCGCGCTTCGGTTATCGGCTCCAGGGCCCAAGCCGCGGCCATCCGACTTTTTAGGCGCATTCAGGTTGCGTCTGGAGTTTTGCAGGGGGAGCTTTATGTTTCGGCCCCACTGCTTCCAGATGAAATTCGAATGCCCCCAGGGTCCCACGGCATGGAATCTGTTGCTCGGTTGCCGCTGCCTGACGCGTCACGGCAGCGTCCGTCAGCTGCCAACTTCATCATCCCGTCCAGCCAGCCCCTCAGCGAGCTGGAGCTGGACGCGCGGTTGCTACAATCCGAAGCGTTACCTTTTGCGTCGCCGTCAAGCTCGGTCGGGGCACGGCACTGCGGGTCTGCTTCTCGAGGTGGACCACCTGATGCTTCAGCCTCGGCCCCAGCAGGGGGTGCCTTTTTGCCGTGCATTCCTTTATCCGAAGGGCTGAAAGTCGCGACGGTAAACTCGAATTCCTGGGGCACGCTCGAGGCCTACTTGGAATCCTCTGACTCGCACATCGTCCTCGCTCAGGAGCATCGGCTTCGGGATCAGCTATCGCTTGACCAGGCGTCCGAGTCTTCGCTCTACCTCGGCTGGAAAAGCATATGGGCGCCTGGGGTGCCTGGAGAGGTGGAGGAGCCAGTCGTGGAGTTGCAGTTCTCGCTCGAAGTGGTTTCGGCGTTTTTGTGAACGATCAGCACATCTTGGTCGACGGGCGTGCGGTCGCGGCCATGGTACGCGTTCCTGGCTGTGCCCTGTTCTGCGCCTGCTCCCTCTATCTCTACCGCAGCCAGGGTCTTTCGGAAGCTAATTTGGAGATCCTTCGTGTCGTTGTGAGTTCATTGTGGGGGCTGACTGGAACTTCTGCCCTGAGGACCTCGAGAGGTCCGATTTCTGCAAGAAACTTCGCGTCGGTGATTAGCACCAGTGGTCACACCCACTTCCCCAGTGTGGGCCCCCCTGACCGCTTTGATTATTTCGTCCTCTCGGAGGCCCTGGGGCTTTGCTTGAGGGAAGTGAAGGTCGCCGATGACTCCTCCCTCGCTCCCCATCGCCCTGTCACGTTGCAGTTTCACAGTTCTCTTGGCGACCTCAAGGCTCTCGCCTTCCGCCGTCCCCCCGACCTTCCTGTGGAGGCTCCTTTGGGACCTCCTCCGTGCCCTGGGGATTGGGAAGGCGCTCTGATGCTCGCTCAAGAAGCCTTTGAGGCTATGAGCATCGGGGACTCTCGGAGGGCTCGCAGGCTGCTCAGTCCTGGGCATAAGGCGTGGGCGGACTCGGCTGAACGCGACTTGGTGAACATCCTTGGGGTTGAGGTCTCCACCTTCGGGGCTAGGGGAAAAATACCTCAACTCTATTGGAAGTCTGTTCTGAAGCCTGCGGGTCGGGTCTAGGACCTGCATGTGCGTAGTATCGTATGGCTGCTCAATCGGCTACGAGCTGTTGGGTGCTATCTTGGAGACACTTTGCAGGCTGGAGGTCACCGGGTCGTGGATGCACTTGAGCATCCCCCTGCCTCGGTGACGGTCGCCGCAGACTCCGAATGGTGCAAGTATTTCGCGTCTGCCGCCAGCTTAGCCCGCGCCATTCGAGCAGACAGCGGCGAGCCCGTGGTCCGTGCCGATCTCGATTGTTTAATCTCGGATACGGCAGATGCTGTTCAGTCTGCTAAGGCGGCGTCAGCTAAGGCTTCGAGGAAGGACTGGCACGACTGGCTTCGTCAGGGGCCCGAAACAGAGGGGAAAACGCTTAGAAGGCTATCAGGGAGCCTATCGCTTGGGCCCCGACCACCACCCTTTCTCGGTGCGGAGCTATTGTCGCGGATCCTGTGAGTCTCCTCAAGGCGGAGGCGGATAAGTTTAGTGACATCTGGCAGCAAGGCAGTGGACTTGCTGACTTCTGCAAAGGCGACGGCAACGGCATCTTGCCGCGCTCGCCTCTCCTTGAGCCTTCTGAGATTCGTGCTGTTTCTAAGAAGTGCAGGCCTGCCTCGGCTGTTAGCGTGGACGGGTTCCATTGCCGACACTTTGCCCTGCTCCCCGATGTGGCGCTCCATGCGATGGCTCTGTGGTTTGCGGTTATGGACGGCACTGGGCCCCCCCCCCCCAGATAGCCCGGGCCCTCCTGGCCCTCCTTAACAAGCCCACTGGAGGCTTCCGTCCGATTGGTGTTTTCCCGAGTTGGTATCGATTTTGGGGTCGCTGTAGGAGAGGTGAAGCTCTTATGTGGGAGTTGTCCCACAAGAGGGGCTACTGGGCTGCTGGAGCCTTCCGAGGAGCTGGGGACGTGGTTTGGAAACAGGCTTTTTGGGCCGACGGCGGGGCTCTTCTGGGCCTGTGCACGGCCTCGTTTTTTTGGGGGGATTCAAGGAAGTACTACGAACATATTGATCTTGAGGTCTTATGGCAGAAAGGCCTTCAACCTAGGTTCCCCGCGTGCCTGGCTCGGCTGGCCATTCAGGCTTGCTCTGCGGCTCGTTACATGGCTCTCGGGGGGATTGTTGAAGGCCCTTTCTTCCCTAGGGGGGGGGGGGGGGGGGGGCATTGTGGCGGGGTGTTCCTTCGCCACTAGTTTGATCAGAGTGTTTGCCATGGAGGCCTTCGATGGTATCCCGCGAGAACCAGGACGGTGCTACTTCGATGCGTACATAGACGACCTCAGTCTGAATGCCACGGGCTCAGCCAGGGAAGTCATTGGAGTTATTTGTCGTGGAGCTCGGGCTCTGCATGCGGCTGTCACTCGCACCCTGCAGTGCAAGCTGGCCATGGACAAGATAGGCATGGTTAGCAGCAGCAGCTTTGTAGCTCACAAGTTGGATGGGGTCCCCTGGCAGCTTGGCAGGAACAGCTTGCACGAGGGCCACCAACCTCGGCTCGGACTTCACTGCTGGTCGGCCTGTGCGAGCAGGGAAAGGCAGGTCTGCTAAAATGAAGGCCCGTGCTGCTGCTGCTTTGCGTAAAACTCGGCGTCTGCAGGGCCTTGGAGAGGCCCTTGGCCGAAAGGCCCTTCAGGTTTTTGCCGCGGGTCCCCTGGCTGGAGCCGTGTGCGGCTCGGGCCCCTATGGGGTCTCGGATTCCGAGCTGCTCAGCTTGCGTAGGATGGTCATGTCCTGCATCAAGCCAAGAGCTCAGGGCAGGCCCTTGCACGTGCCCCCCTTATCCGAAGGTGGTCCGACCTGGAGGGGCAGCTGTGCCCCTACCATTCGTTGGGCCAAAGAAATCTGGACTTTGAGAACCAACGCCTTCCCCTGGTCGCTCTCGTGGGCCGAAATGCGTGAGGGGTGGAACGCGGTGTTCTCTTCTGACAACTGGTCTTGGGCCAAGGTCCGAGGCCCTATCTCGGCCCTGAGAATGACCTTATACAGGCTGGGGTGGACCACGCCTAATTGTCGCACCATCGTCGACGACTTTGGGCGTGAGATATCGCTCCCCCCTCCAGCCCTAAGCTTATCAAGTTTTTTTCTTCCAAGGAAGCTGTTTTACGCTCCCTGGAGCGAATTCCTGGAGACAGGTGCGGAGTGGGGGCTCGGCTTTGATGGGGCGTTGCCAAGAATATCCTGGGGTCCAAGAAAGTTGGGGCTAAGGCTAAGGGTTGGGTCAGAGCCTGAGCGACCAAGGCATGTTGGACAGCAGGTGACGTGGCGTCAGCAGGCTATGCATGTCCTGATCGTTGTCAGCTTCGCGGCGAAACTAGAGACACTCTTTTTCACCGTCTCTACGAATGCCCTTTTGTACAGCAGGAACGAGAGGCAGTTCTTCCTATGTGGCTTCAAGAAGAAGCCCGCCAAGCTGGCCCTGACTCTGAGGACACAGTGTTATACTTACATGGGGCCCTAAGGCATCCTGGAGATCTCGCTCCTCCTCCTGCTACGAATACGGGTGTCGTCTATGAC